TACCACTGGAATTAAAAACATTATTACAACTTTACCGGTTTGAATCGAGCTAAGGCAAGCAGAGAGTTTTGAACACTGGCTGGTTATGTATTTTCTCAAATATGTAATTTTTAACCCAAAAAAGCTACGGACTGTTAGCTTTAATATTATAATGATTTTTTGGCATTAAAGAAAAATCGACAAGTTTGACCAAATATACTCATGCTACTTGTGACTGGTTTTGTGATCCAGTGTCACAAATGACGTCTACTGTCATGTAATGTACTGTATGTTCATTGCATCACTGCTTATAATATCGTAGAAAACTTCTGCGGTGTATCTAGCCCTAACCAAAAAAATATTTTACAATTATATACTTTGTTATCTTTAGTCCAGGCACAGACACAAACACAACCCATCAAATCCGCAACGAGCAACTATTCCATTTTCAAACACCTTTAAACACTTGAAAAAGCCCTGCCTTGATGCAAAAGGGGCTATTCAAGCTGGGATGTTGAAGAACAATACCTTTTAAAGGCAGACTTGGGGTCGAAGAAATTCTAAATTGAAATTCCTAAAGCCTTTGGTGTTGTCAACCACACTTACAAGTGAATTGAACACACCAGGACACTTACAGGAGAATCTGTATTGAATACACCAGGGGCCTGTTTTTCGAAATTAAACAAACACAAAAAGAAAGCGGTGTCATGTGACATATTGACAGAGTAAGGTCCTGTTAAATATGAATGTGTGTGCTTGACTATAAATGTCAGAATAACAGAACATACTTTGTAGCTTAGTACATAGTAAAATTACAACAACAACTGGGAAATAAAGTAATTCACTCATATATATTGTAAAAAGCAGTAAATCTAAGCAATATGGCGTATTTTTGTCCGGATGTGTCAAGTTTTGTGAGCTATGTTAGATAAAGTTAAAGATTGTAGTTGTAAAAAATTGTTAAAGAGGACCTATTATTTGGGGTTTGAAAATGTAAAATATAATGTTAAAATAGTATAGCAATAGGTAAAAAAATAATTGGTCCACTTTAATGCTGGGTAGATACTGCACGATTTTATCTCGCCAACAATTTTGCTCTCGCCAACAATTTTGCGGAAAACGTAGATAAATGGCAAATCGGTGCTCATTCATGTGAGTAACAATTGCGTAGTGTCTATTATCAAAAACGCGATCTGAGTGAAGCGCTGATTTGTTGCCGATGCCCGTGAGATATTTAGCACGCACCAATCACAGCATGCTAAATATCTGGACCTGTCACCGACTGTCCTGCAGTGTGAAATGTGTTTTGACTGGAATTTTATCTTTGCAGACCAACAGCCAAAGAGAGAATAAGAAAATTCAGGTGGAGCAGTCTTACAATCATGGCTTGTGCAAGCTCTTTTTTTTTTCTGTCGCAAATCAGCGCACTGACAAATTGACATAGTTTGTAGACCAGACAGAATTTGTTGGGGATTCCTTTCTATTGAAATGTTATGTAATGTATGACCCCCCTGTCGCTGATCTGTCATGCAGTGTGCACACAACAACAATGGGACCCCAGACTGCCATGTGCGAAAAGAACAGCGATCCAACGATTTTGAAAATTGTGTATATGATACATATGCAAAATCCTTCTCAAATCACACATTTCAGCACCGCGGACAGTAACAGTAACATTCCCAGTATGCATCTATAATCCATTTTCCTTCTTGCAAACAGTAGTTTGAGTTAGTAGTCATTCAACTTTGATGCACATATGAATGAATACTAAGTCATTTTTTTTCTTTCTCACACTATCAAACACACTCTCAATCATATCACTTCAAAGATAATCTCAAGAGAGATTAAGTATTACATACGGTGTGCATAAGCAGTCATGAATACACAGGCGGAGTGTGTGCGGATATGCCTCTATGGCTAATGTTTCATATTGCTCTCTATTCCTGTCATTCCCTGGATGCTTAACTGTCTCACAGAATAATAATCACACTGACTTCTGTAATCCCTACTGTGCACAGAGGTTTCCCTGATATCCCCACTGTGCTGGGCTGCGTTGAGCTTTGCTGAGCTGAGCCAACCCCCGCCACACACATACACACACATCCTTGTCCTCACCCTGCCTGGATCACTGCTATTAACAATATAGGCCAAGTAATCCTAATTTGTACTTAAAGAAAGCTAATCCATTATACAGAAATAACTAATCTGCAAAGAGCAAACACCATTCTTAGGCTGGAAAATCCTGTTAGCGTCTGCTTGATTACCTTACCATTAGACTTCCCATGCAAAGCGCTCTAAGTTCAGTCACATGGCTAACCTCATCAACCGGGCTAATGTCTGCAGCACTGTTGATTTCGGCAACAAATTGAGTTAATATTTCATGCTGACAGGGTAAGTTTTACTCCACGGGAGAACTAAAGCTAAATGTGTGCCTATAGTGAATAATTCACATGTACCTGATAAGACTAAGTGTGGTGTGTTTAATTATTAATGATCTTAATATTGCAAAAATGCACTGATCGATGCATTTCTATAGTAAGTGCAAAGGAAAGGAAAGATTACAGACAGATCCAATCAGAGCAGCGCACATCTCACATGACGACAAACACGTTTGGATTGGTTTCTTACAGATAGAACTAAATCAAAAGTAACGAACAAGCTAAAAGCTCATTGACCGGGACAAATATTCAAAATGAAAAACTTTTTTTGTGTGATCGCATGGGTTGTGTGACTTTCACTGCTCTGAGCTCCTACAGACAAGTTTTGGGGTTAATCAGTAAGATACTCTTAAAGGTAAGATCAGTGACAATCTTAAAGGTAAAGTGACATATCAAATGTCTAGGACACATATCCTCATGTGACAAAATGCCAGAGCAAATCAAAGTCAAAGTTGAGATCAGACATAACGACATTCAAAAAGAACCCAACATTGAAGAATTTGAATTTCAATATGTCAAAACAGTTTTGATCCACACTTGGACGATGGTCTGACATATCATGCTGCTACGTACAGATGAGGACAGATGCTGGGCAATTTAATCTTGTCAGTGTCTATCAACTTTACAAAAGAATAAACACAGGTCCAGGTGACTGATGATCACTTCTTGTGTCACAGTCAAGCTGTGTCCTAGGCATATGTGTCCATCCCCTTGTGGGACTCTAAGCTGATGGCATCCTCCTTTCAGTGCCCAGGTGAGAGGGCTAACCTATCTGCATATTCATGATTGTGAAATGGACATGGATTCTCACTTGGTAACAAAATACGCAAGAAAACATGGAATTAATGCTATTAACCTGCTATTAAATTCAGATAAAATGGAGGCATTACTTTTTGGTCCAAAAAACTAAGAAAACCTCTTACAACACAACTTTAATTTAGAAGGATGTCCTGTTACTTTATCCACTACAGTAAAAGACCTGGGTGTTATACTAGACCACAGCTTGTACTTCGAAAATCATATTTCATGTTACAATAACAGCCTTTTTCCACCTTAGAAACATTGCTAAACTACGTAACATGCTATCTGTTTCTGATGCAGAAAAGTTAGTTCATGCATTCATGACCTCGAGACTAGATTACTGTAATGTTTTCTTAGCTGGTTGTACTGCATCTTCAATAAACAAGCTACAGTTAGTGCAAAATGCAGCTGTTAGAGTTCTTACGAGGTCAAGAAAATGTGATCATCTAACAGCAATTTTACACTGGTTATCTATTAAGTTCCGTATCAATTACAAAGTATTAATACTGACCTATAAAGCCCTAAATCATCTAGCTCCTGTGTATTTAATGGAGCTTCTATTGCTCTACAATCCATCACGTTCTTTAAGATTTCTGGTCATTCCTAGGATATCTAAGTCCTCGAGGGAGGGCGTTCTAACATTTAGCGCCTAAACTCTAGAATATCCTTCCAGATATTGTTCGAGGCTCAGACTACTAGATTAAACTAGATTAAAGACGCATCCCTTTAGCCAAGCATTCACATAATGCTTACCTTTTACATTACTGTTGAATCAGATCAAATGGATTAATATTATGAACAGCAGCTAAATTATTTCTCATTCTGCTGTTATCTCGGGAAGCTAGTCCTGAGGTAAATATTAGTCAGTTCCAGTTTGTATCCAGCCTCTCACAGAGACTTCAGATGCCCCAACACCTGTGATGAGATGACTAAACGCCTGTGAAGAGACGACTCGACGCCTGTGAAGAGACTACTCAATGCCAGCGATATGTTATGCCATAAATTAATATATGATTAACTAAATGTATTTTTCTATGTACATTTCTGAAATGCACTTTGTATAAAGCTGCTTTTCACAATATGAATTGTGAAACGCGCCACACAAATAAATTTGAATTGAATTGAACTGAACATGGTCTCCAGAGACAACCCTGTCTCAAACTCTGATGTGAATATGTACCACTGAGAAACTTTGACTCAACCTTTTATACAGTATAATTAAGTGTATGTCTGTATGAGTTCTACAGTCAAAACAAAGCCAAAAATAGAATGTTATATGTAACACAAACATACGCTTCATATTTTATCCAAATAAAACTTTTTAACTCTGTTACCCATGCATTCCTTAATCATAAACACTTCAATTCAGAATGCAAACTTTTATTTTTCAAAAAGCACCACTACAGTTTCTAGTCCTAATATGTGGGATATTTTTTCCCCCCCAAAATCACAAAAAAACTATCATCTGACATTGGAGGTGATTTGCTGGTGCTGATCGGCACTGAGAAAGCATTAACATGATGAAAAAACACCACATTCTCGACAATGAAGTCCTGGCAGGATTTTAATATTAAAAACACTTCTCTTACTAGACCTTGGCACTAAAACAGATTGAGCAAAGCTCTAGCACTCACAGGCAGTAGAGACACTAAGCTATGTGGATTCAGTACCATGGACAGCACCACATAAAGATCTTTCCCAAATTCACAGGACATGTCCAAAAGTCTGCTTATGCTACTTATCAATGGTTCGATAAATAATTAAAGATAGAAACAGACATACCATGTTGACCTCCGACACCATGTCTATGCTCGCCACATCGATGCTCATGCCTACTGCCACTGGTGCACCTTAAATGAGAAGAAAAACTTAATCCTTAAGTTCACCAAAACCCTTTATTTACATTATATCAATCTTTAAAACAATCTTTAAATACTTATGTGACATTAAAAGTAAGAAATAATGAAGTGAACGACATCATACCTCCAAAGTCTGGTCGAAGACGAATGTCATACCCTTTCAAAAGCTTGTCTACAGTCTCTTTGACAAAAGACATGTTTCCTGGTTCATTGGCGCTGTAAAAAAAACAATAAAGAAGGTTATTCCATCATATTAGAGCCCAGGAGGTCTATGCTCTCGCGCCATGGTCTCCACCAGCTCTTCTTACCTTTGAGCACAGCACATCACTGCCACAATTACCGGTAATGAAAGAACACCAAACAGCCTTCGTTTCTGTATTCCAAACATTCCTTATACTCTTTCAGACAAGGAATCGAGCGACAAAACTGACGTTGTATGATTTCCTTGCGTAGGGTAACACGTTACGTTATTCCATCAGTGGGTCTTTGCTAAACTCCAATTACTGTCAAACACGCGTAAACAAATCGCTGCGATCCGCGTTTTCGCTCTCTTGCGGAGACTGTGTTATTTGGTTAGGTGCTCGGTGAATACAATGCATTTTGCCCAAGACACTACCGGAGCTTGCAGCAGGGGAGTCTGTGTTTGGGGCACAGCCAGATCTCCATCCTTCGGTTTTGACGCTCGTAGCTGTGCTGTCCCGAATCTACACCCTCTGTTGAAGTCTCAGTCTTACGCCTCTTTTTTTTTGTTTCAGCTAAGCAAAGCAAGAACTACTTATTTCCCCACATATAGACAACAAAGTACGCTTGTTATCAGATGTTCACTCGGGAAAACACGAGAATTAGAAACTGAAATTTCAGGTACTGATTTCGAAAATGATGACAGAGTCTATCGGAGTGTGATGAAATTGACATGCGAGCACGAGGACTTCAGTATAAGCAAAGTGGTCACGTGACATTCCACAAGCTTCGTCGTGAAGTCGGTTTTGCTGGTGTTTAGTGCGGAGTTTACCTAAATAACTCTTTCATGTTAAATCAAACAAAAACCTAACTGTATATTGCAACAAAACACCGGTGTTGTTTCGTTGGGCTCGTTAACTAGTAGAAAAAGTGTCACGCGGGTACGTTGAAGAGAACGACTGGAAAGAATTCCCCCAACTCGAATTCGTTCATGGAGAAGAATAGAACGGTGAGTAGCATATTTTAGTTAGTGTATTCTTGCCGATTGGGTATAGCTTTGTGATGTAGGCTATACTGGTGGGTATAGCCTACATCCCAAATCTTTGTGCGTGGAAAGAAACTTGGTTACAACAAATCCAAACCAAATCACAACTTCTTGCGTTGTAAATTCGTCCTATTCTGTTCAAATGCAGGAAATGTAACCATAAGGTTTGGGGGTTACTGGAAGACACAGGAAGTCAAAACCAAAGAATGGTTTCAATCTCTTTCAACAGCGTTTTTCAACAATGGCTTACTGCACCTTAAGTGGCTACTCAGCTCATTCCTTCCATTTGAGTGTTATGGACACTAGTAGGCTAGTCTTTCTCTTTCTGAGAAGATCATTTCAGCTGCACATCAAGGTATGGTGGTATCAAATGGCAGTTCGTTATAACTTTATTAGAACATTACATTTAAAAGAACACTGGCTTCTGTAGTGTAGCCAACCTCTGCATGCAAGCTTACACTAATGATAAACAGAACATCATGAGTGGAAGGAGAAAAATGCCGCTGTATTGATACCTTCTGTGATAAAACCTGATATATTACTTGTTCTCAATACCACTCCGCATCAATGGATATTAAGGCACCTCCATTGAGCCTCTAGACAATTTTATTATACATAATCAGATTTTCAGTGAGACTTGACAGTCTGCTGGAGATTAAGCCTAAGTGTAATGGCTTCTTCCAATCTTTAAAAACGTATTAAACTAACCCTGTTAATTTGACCTGTGTTCAAAAAACTGGTCCGCATTGTTCTGACTGAAAGGTTGTTTAAGGGAGCTGTTGCTGGATTTGATGGCGAATGGTCGAAGTTAGTGGCCTTCTTAAAATCCCCAAGCTACATTAATACTGTGTGCAGACTGATGCCGGGCTAATGCATTTAAATGCAGATGCCGGATGAAGAGGGATGTGGCTGTGCTTCCTGGTACTGTTCAGAGCCGAGGACCCGCCTGAAATAGTGTTAGGAGGACTATATTATTGGATAACTCTTCATTTTTAAACTGTTAACAAATATGAATCTGTTTTAGGACAGCTGGTCCTAGGTAACCATTCCTACTCAGTCATTGAGTTTGAATTTATAATTCGAATGTATAGAAAATAGCATTACATTAGAATTGACTTTCTAACACATTCTAAAAAATGCTGGGTTGTTTTAACCCATCGTTGGGTTAAATATGGACAAACTCAGCTATGAGTAAATGTTTAAATTACACTTTTAACCCAACATTTGGATTAGTTCATATTTTACCCAAATTTGGGTTAAAACAACCCAGCCTTTTTTTAGAATGCAGTAATTTTTAACTAGGAAAGCAGAAATTATTAAGTCCTTGAATGTTATAGATTGAAATTTGTATTTTGTTTATTTCATCATATTTAAATGAACTTTTTTGGACCAAGGTGAAAGTGCACCTCATTTTCCAAAATGCCTTACTGCACTGTAAAAATGAATATGCTATATCTAATGTGGCAAAAAAAATAAAAAAAATGTGGCAACAGATTACAAGCAAAATTATTAATTAAATTTAACAAAATTAGAATTGAGTAATAATTAATCAAATTAATTCCTTAAAAGTTAACCATTTAAAATGAGTACAACAACAACAACCAAAAAAACATAAATTTAAGTCACCATTATGGTGATTGGTGTTTGTTTTAAAATGACGGTTTTCTCCGTCATGTTGGCAATATAAAATAAAGAGTTCTTAATTAATCTTTGACGTCTGTCTGTTAGTGAGATATTTTTGTAAATTTTTTTTTGGTGTAAACTTTACTTATTTTAAATGGTTAACCTTTAAGGAATAATTTGATTAATTATTACTCAATTCTAATTTGTTAAATTTAATTAATAATATTGCTTGTAATCTGTTGCCACAATTCCATTGATTAGATAACGCATATTCATTTTTACAGTGTAGTGTTTTTGCATTGCAGTTCAATAAATCCCCTATCCTGTCGTTCTATTTCGACTTTGTGTGAGGCCAGTTCCAAACTCATGAATTGGCTGGGTGTAAATTATTCTTTAGGTCTGAAATTTGTTTCTGAAAACGCTTCTTTGTACAGAACTAAAATGTAAAGTTTTAGACTTATGCTCATTAAGTGCCCTTGCCCATTTTACTATCATGTTGGCATTAATAGATGTGTTATATTCAATATTCAATTCTAAGATGACTTCTTTTTGTAGCGTTACATGTGTTGCTGGAATGACTTCTATGCTTCTTGCAGCATAAACATTTATAAAGAGCAGCTACTATAAGGAGAGAGATAGCGAGCGAGGGTATAGCTCTGAACAGCACTTACCCACACACACCCACATCCCATCATCCAAACAAAGCACTCCACTCACACATCATCTGCAAATGCAAAGGCTCCTCAGTGTGTGGGCTGAGCAAATGGCACCAAGTCATGGTCACACACCAAGCCAAATGCTGTTAATGCTGTAGATTGCCTTTAAAGTAACACGAGTCTAACAGGCTGTGGGAGGACTGAAACCTTTCACGATCCCTGCCTTTAAAATGACCAGTGTCCCCTGACCTCTGTAAATGTGAGGTAAAAGACTGCGTCCACAAGTTCATAAGGCACTTTGCTTTATTTCGCCCAAAGCAATTTTCTGATCTACTGTATATGGGTGAGGTAGTATCACTAAGACGGGAATAACTGGTTTCCACTGAAAGGGTTTTTCCTTCCATTCGTGTCAATTCGCAGATGCAAAAGACCTCTCCTCCCGATTAAATGGACACAGATAAATAGTTTCTCTGGATGGAGTGAATATTGCACTGTGCTGAATGAATAATGTATGTACGTGGCTGACATTGTCGGCCTGATTTGTTTTAGATTGAGACAGAACTCTGCAAAATCTCTCGCAATACCCATTGAAAAATTCAGACCCTTGTTGTGATACTGTGAAAGTCCAATCCTGAGGCGTTAACAACATGCCGTCTTTAATAGGGAAGCAAAAAAAAATTCAGTGTTGTAAATAAAACGAAGATTATTGGAGTAAGTCATAAAAGAAAATACTATTTCATCTTTCTATGTCTTTCAGAATGTCATGTTTAATTTACGTTTTTTTTAACCTTACAAATAAGTCACTTACCTTGTGTCATAGATTGCAAACAGCTTTTTATTCCCATCCACAGCATTCCTGCAAAACAGAAAGGTAGGTGATGTTACCATTCCCATCATTCAATGCCATGTTATTATTTATGATAGCAACACACTCTCTAGGAAATTGTGATGGTTCTGATTATGGATAATAAAAGAAAAGAATCCCAAAAATCATTACCAAATATATCACTTTTAACTCATAAGGCTGCTTTTTTGTTTTTATGTATCTCCGTTTAACATGCACACATACACACACTCTCAACTAAATCATGTTTATCAGATGCTTGCTGGACACAGGTGGACTGTAGAAGTAACAGCTGCTCCTGTGTGAAAATCTCTGGAGTGCACATCAATGGAGTCAATCAACAGTCAGACAAAAGCGCTTCAAAAATAAATCAATCCCCAAATCACATTACCACATATCACATTATGCAGACAACAAACTGTCGTTACTATCTTCATGAACCTAGAAATAATCTTGTCCTATAAGAGATGCATGTTTATTGTTATTTATTTATTTTGACAGCAGAGTGACAATTAATGCCAACCCAAAGCAGATGTTTAATTTAATTTGATTATCTTTCTGTAAGTCAATGTAACACCTGCATACCCATGTGTGATCATTTTTACTGGGAGTCTTTAATACACTTTAAGTTATAATCTCAATACATTTACAGTATTTTTGCATGATCATTAGAATAGTGGTGTAATACCTATGTGTGTGTATGACATTGGAGACATTTCCCTGTTGTCATGTTACCCCAAATCAGCATACAATGTGTCATTATAAAATAACCTAGTTCATTAAGTTCTTCACCTATGCACATGAAATTGGAGCAGGTAGAGCCTTTTAAGATTTTCATTTATTGACTGAGGCACTGCAGTGATAGTCAGCATCAGAGAAAAAAAAATGGGATTAGAGTTCCCTCTGATGGCTGTCCTCATTACTACTCCATTCTGTTTCATATAAAACAATACTTGCTCTCAAACCCATTTTTATATCTAGTCCTATCAAATCAATATTGTATCTTTGACTGATACCTTGATATATTTATATACCTATCGTATATATTTTTTAAACGATGTATACAAAGGACTATTCCATAATTTACAACTTGTTATAATTGGGCAAACTGATACTTTTAAACCATGATTATCCTCAGTGGAGTTATAATGATCCGCATGTAGAGAAAGCGAGTCTTCATTAAACAGCCTGGCGCATGGGGAGCTGCCTAGAGCTAAACGCTCGCGCGTAAAATGCATAGTAAGCAGAATTGTTGGGAAATCCACTCATTTTCTGCCGTCCGCGTTTGTATCGCGCGCAGGGGACGGGGGTAATCGCGCTTTTCTCCGAATAAGCTCAAACAAGATAAGTTTCAAAACCCAACGGCCGCTTAAATTTCCCTCGGGGGGTAATTATGCCGCGCGAGCGGAGGTGACGTCCTATTACTTTGGTCCCAAATACGAACAAATTCCTCTAGAGTGACAGTTGGGCTAGAGTGAGGAGAGCAACGGACGTTCAAACCGCCGACCCGGTAAGCGGAGAATCCTGTTAAACTCTGTAACGCTTGAACGGTTGCGCAGATAAGCGTTGAAATGTCGTGCTAGGCTACCACAGAGGAAAGAAGGGGGAAAGTAATGGTCTGTTAAAGAGAATTTGTTGACTAGAGGGAGAATAGGGGAAGGGAGAAAACAAAGACTATTTTAAGGGCTGCCTGGTTACTGTCTTTCAATTGGATTTAGGAGTGATGAAGGGGTCTTTGGGATGCGGTGGAAAGGAAGGGATGTTCTGCAGCGGCTGTTCAGTCACTGAATCGTAAAAGAGGACAGAACAATGAGCCTGTGAGGTTAAGACTGGATATATCTGAAGAACAAGGCATCTACTACTGCTGTAAGCTGAACGTTGCGGGATTTTGCTCACTGCTTCAAAGGGAATTCATTGCATTTATTTTTTTTTCCAACGTGGATCCACTGCACCATTCAGGTATTTAAGGTAAGATGCAAGGATTTTCCCCAATCTCTCCCCAACTCTGCTTTGTAGGACTCACTGTAAATTTTCGACAAGTTTATACGCCAGAGGCTGTTAAAACTAAGCATTACAGCTGCTGCAAACTCAGCGCTCCTACTGCTTTTTAGAAACGGTCACGTTGAAGAAATGTTGCGAACTGGCATTCAAGGGAAATGTACAACACATTTGTTTGATATAGAAAATATTCTTAAAATTGGATTTAAAAAAGAACATAAATTAAAAACTATATAACTTATAGTATCTAAAAAGGGGAAATAAATAATATAGTTAAAAGATTAAGGCATTTAATTATAATTAGCGTACTTATTTTTTATTATGATTATTATTAAAGTAACAATGAAAAGGTGTCCTAATTTTAACTGTATAGCTGACCAAAACTGTTTGTTTAACACTTCGTAAATTATATTGTTTTTAAGTTGACTGATCATGCTGTTTATCATTTTGTATACATATTTCTAACTTACCCTCTCAATTTATTTTCAATTAAATTGTGCATAATTCATGGATTTTCATGGAGAATTATACGATTATCATGCTGGAATGAATGACTCCATATGCTGGACTCTTTGCAGGTATGGGATATGGACCACACTGCAGCGCTAAAATGAGAAGTCTGTGGGTCGGTGTTTTGTTCATGACTTTCACTTGCCATCTGAGGTAGATTACGTTTAATGTAACTTTCCATTGCTCTTTGACTTAATATTATTTTCCAGTTGATTGCAAGAGTCAATTAAACTGCATATGTATCTTAAGAATGCACATTTTCCAGACAATTTTATCATTACGGTCACCTAATGGGTATAGGAACTAATACTCGTAGCTATTAATTATCTGTATGGTCTTGTGCATCAGCCTTTCCCAGTCTACTACAGGGACTCCTAAAGAGTCAGAGCTCAATGATAACATCACAGTATTTACACGAATCCTGGATGGATTGCTGGATGGCTACGATAACAGACTGCGACCTGGGCTTGGAGGTAAACTCTGCCTATATACCATGATATTTCAAAAACATCTTCTGTAGCAATATTGTGATTTAGCGAGAGGCATATATATATATAGTTTTTTGTAGGGCAATTTATGTCTGGCATTGACCTCTAGTTATATTGAAAAGATGTCTTCAGATAAAGGCAGATGGTTAAACAGAAAGAACGCCTGCACATTCCATCGTAAAGGACTTTCAAAAGAAAAGAAAAAGAGAGTGAGAGATGCTGCTTCTATTCAATCCACTAACCGGGAGGAAAAGTACACAAAAAAAGAAAAAAAATCTGTTTTCATAGAGGAGATGTTTGCACAGAGCAGAAGTGATCACGGAAATTGCCTGGTTCTCTGTGAAAAATCCAACAGCCTCTATTTCCCGGCACTCGCAATTACAGTGTTCTTGCAAGAGACAGAGAGAGAGAGGGTGGGCGAGAGAGAAGGGATATTAATGTGACTGCTGACCTTGAAGAAGCTATCATTCTGTTCAAAAGGTGCAGGTTTATTGTTCTCGGAGGTCAAAATCATGCCGTTATGGCAGAGAAAGAGAATAAACACTGACTGCACCTGTTTCCATGTGAGAACTGCGCTTCAGCAACATAATGTCAATTGACAAATGATGGATTTGAACATGACTTACTTTGAGAAGGGAAGTGCAGTCAGGAGCCTGGAATTAATTGCTTTTCCTTTAAAATGAATGCAACTAAAAGAAATAGCGTACCAATACAAATAGCGAATCAAAGCATACTTGTAAATAAAAATTCTGCATATATTTTATATTCTATTTTTTTTTCCAGGGCTACTATTTACCTATATATTTATAGTTGATTGGAAATTCTGCATATTTTATATGTTATATACATTCACTCTCTCACTCTTGGTCTCGCTCTCTCTGTTTATACTGTATATACTGTATATATATATATATATATATATATATATATATATATATATATATTATTAAATGCATAGAAGGTATAGATTATAAAATATGTAGAACTTCCATTATGGTATAAATATATAACATCCAAAATTAAGTGTTATCAAATAGATCACTATTTGTTTGTGGCTTTACAGAGAAAGTGACCGAAATTAAGACCAACATCTTTGTCACCAGCTTTGGGCCAGTTTCAGATACTGAGATGGTAAGTATTTAAACCATATCCTTTCTTCATGAAGAAACACCATTCATTCATCTCTACAGCTGAGCTCACTCTTCATCAAGACATCCTTCATTATAACCTGCCCCACTCTGTAACATTACTTCACCTCTGCAACATTTCCTGAAATTCTGCATGCAATATCTTAGGTAGGTCACAGTATGATTTATTGAATGCAACTATTGTTAATTGTAATATTCAGTCATGTGACACATCTGATTTTGCCTTCAGGCAAGGTCGTCGCTGTAATTCATGGGCCCTGGAGAAAAAGTTTATGGGGAGGCCTTAGTGTGCCCCTCCTCCTAATCACAGGGCCTGGGGTTCCTCACGGCGACCCTGCCTTCTGATGCACACTAAATGAACATTTTCCTTTGAACAGGAATACACCATTGATGTGTTTTTCCGTCAAAGCTGGAAAGATGAGCGTTTGTGTTTCAAAGGGCCAATGGAGATGCTACCTCTGAATAACCTGCTGGCCAGCAACATCTGGACACCTGACACCTTTTTCCTTAATGGAAAAAAATCCATTGCTCACAACATGACAACGCCCAACAAGCTTCTGAGACTGAAGGATGATGGGACATTGCTGTACACCATGAGGTACCAGTTTAAGCTACAATGCCTTGTCATTTCGCACTATGAAATGCTGTCTGCATTAATGGATTTGAGTATGGATAGTACAGCCATTGATCCTCATCCCATTTATGCCCTCCTAACCTCTGTTTTGCACTGCCGAACCCTCTGCCATGTGACAGATGTGTTAAGCACACATGAACTCTTCTCCTTCTGAACTCAGTGGGAATGTTCAGCTTGCCCCTGCTAAAGCTTTTTATCTATACTTTTTTTTTTTCTTTTTGATTTTGTCTTCGC